GGGGCCCGCGCCAAGGCGAGAGGAAATATACGCAGAAGAGACAGCCAGGACGCCTCACCAACCACGAGGACGACGGTGATGGCTTTTTCCAGATTCGCCCAGAGGATTCTTATGTGGGGTTCTTCCGTCGGAGTATGATGATGATCAGTGGTGAAGATGAGTGGTGAAGAGGATGATGATTGATTGTGAGTGGTGGTGGCGATGATGATGTTTGGTGCGCGGCTATTTGCCGATGCGATGATGAGGATGATGATGATGATGACTGATGATGAATTTTTTTTTGATGATGATGATGTTCGTGAGCGTGTGAGAGAGTGCGAGTGATGATGATGATGAGTATGTGAGTGACTAAGCATGTGAGAGAGCATCATCGACGATGCTGATGAGGTTGATGATGAGAGAGTGTGAGTGAGTGTGAGTGGGTGTGTGTGTGTGTTCCTGTCCTGTTCCTGCGCGGGGTGTCCAGAGAAAACAAGAACCCCCGTCGAGATATCGAGCAGGCTTTGCTGAAGCAGGCTAACAAGCCGCCGTTGTTCCCCACATCCAAAGTGGGGTTCTTGTTTTCTCTGGACACCCCGCGCAGGAACAGGAACACACACACACACCCACTCACACTCACTCGCACTCTCTCATCATCAACCTCATCAGCATCATCGATGATGCTCTCTCACATGCTTAGTCACTCGCATACTCATCATCATCATCACTCGCACTCTCTCACACGCTCACGCACATCATCATCATCATCATCCTCATCATCGGCATCGGCATCATCCTCATTCAAACATCATCATCGCCACCACCACTCACAATCAATCACCATCCTCTTCACCACTCATCTTCACCACCACTCATCATCCTCATCCTCATCATCGTTGAGTAAATTGTGAGGAAGTCTCAGGCGGGAGCCCCCTCCCTATGGGGCCCGCAGATCAGGTTGGTAATCCGAGCGGGTCATCGGGATCCTGTAACTGTCGTCACTTTTGAGCTCCCCAGGCCTGAAAATGGAGGAAGTCTCAGGCGGGAGCCTCGTCTGTGAGTGAATTGGGAGGAAGTCTCAGGCGGGAACTCCCTCCCTATGGGGCCCGCAGATTATGTTGGTAATCCGAGCGGGTCATCGGGATCTTGTAACTGTCGTCACTTTTGGGCTCCTCAAGCTTGAATTTGGAGGAAGTCTCAGGCGGGAGCCTCGTCTGTGAGTGAATTCTGAGGAAGTCTCAGGCGGGAGCCCCCTCTCTATGGGGCCCGCAGATCATGTTGGTAATCCGAGCGGGTCATCGGAATCCTGTAGCTGTCGTCATTTTTGGGCTCCCCAGGCTTGAATATGGAGGAAGTATCAAGCGGGAGCGTCGTCTGTGAGTGAATTGCGAGGAAGTCTCAGGCGGGAGCCCCTCCCTATGGGGCCCGCAGATCATGTTGGTAATCCGAGCGGGTCATCGGAACCCTGTAACTGTCGTCACTTTTGGGCTCGTCAAGCCTGAATTTGGAGGAAGTCTCTGGCGGGAGCCTCGTCTTTGAGTGAATTGTGAAGAAGTCTCAGGCGGGAGCCCCCTCCCTATGGGGCCCGCAGATCATGTTGGTAATCCGAGCGGGTCATCGGAACCCTGTAACTGTCGTCACTTTTGGGCTCCTCAAGCCTGAATATGGAGGAAGTCTCAGGCGGGAGCCTCGTCTGTGAGTGAACTGCGAGGAAGTCTCAGGCGGGAGCCCCCTCCCTATGGGGCCCGCAGATCATGTTGGTAATCCGAGCGGGTCAGGAATCTGGCTGCAGGTGCACGGCTTCAAGGAGTCTCCGATCTACCAGGAGGTCGCCGAGGTGCTGCGACAGGGCGCCGAAGGCGCCGACGACGACGGCCAGGCCGAGGCGCGGGCGCGGAGCTTGCTGATGTTCAGGCCCAGCGAAAGGGAGTCCACATGGCAGAGCTCGGGGGCGCACAGCGTGCGCCGCTCGGGGTTCACCCTGACGCACGCGTCCTACCTGACCTCCACGCTGTCGCAGGGCCAGACGCTGCGCAAGGGCGTCACCATCGACTGCGCGAGAGACGAGGACGCTGGCCGCACGGGCATGTCGGACGAGCAGTGGTGGCTGCACCTCTACGTCATGTTCTCCCGCGCCACGTGCATGCGGAACATGCTGATCCTGCGGCCGCCGCCGCGAGAGTTCCTGGAGCGCGGGCCGCCGGCGCCCCTGCGGAAGGCGCTCCTGGAGTTCGACAAGAGAGCGGTTTTTGTCCAGGGCGGAGGCGAAGCAGCTCGCGGCAGAGCTGGGCTTCGTGCTGCCTTCCGCCTGAGCGCGGCTGCGCCTCGCTCGAAGCCCGCGGGGTTGTCCCAACGGCTTGGTCTTGCGCGCCAACGGCTCGCGGGGTTGCCCGACAGCCTGGCCCGCGGGGTTGTCCCAACGGCTGCGCGACGTGACCAGTAGAGAACGCGCCTGTGCTGGCCGTGGCGGCGACGGCGCCGAGGAACATCGACGTGCGCGCTCATGCAACAGGAAGGGGAGGAGGTGGCGGGGCGCGGAACAAACAGGGGGGCGAGGATGGGGACGACGTAAGGAGTGGAAGGGGGGCCCGCGCCAAGGCGAGAGGAAATATACGCAGAAGAGACAGCCAGGGCGCCTCACCAACCACGAGGGCGACGGTGATGGCTTTTTCCAGATTCGCCCAGAGGATTCTCATGTGGGGTTCTTCCGTCTGAGTAATTTTTTTCGGCGCCTGCGGCGGGCCAATCCAATCCATCTTATCTTATCAAAGCCATTTCTTCCCATCCAATCCATATTATCGAATCCAATCCATCTTATCCCATCCAATCCAACCCACCCAACTCTATCCATCAATTCAAATTTTTCGGCGCCTCCGGAAAGAGAGAGTGAGAGAGAGAGAGAGAGAGAGAGAGAGAAAAAGAGAGAGAGAGAGAGAGAGTGATACGTAGAGAAAGAGAGAGATGAGATCAAATTGACAGGCTGGAGGTCAGTCCGGGTGGGCATTTGATCTCAGTCCCCCCTCAATCTCCTCATCGCCCGCAGGGAGGTCGTATAGGTATATACCTATATTGCGGTCATCGCCTTGCCCTTCCCCCTTCCACCTCCCTGCGCTGGAGACCCATGCCAAGAAACACCCTGCTTGCCTCCAGGGTGTCCTGGGCTTCTTGCGGTCCGAGGGTTTTGCGATGGAAACTCGTGACGTCCTCACGCCAAACGTCAAGGAACGTCCCGGGGTGTCAGGTTTGGGTCTCCAGTGGAAGGCTTTTTGTGGTCGAACCTCTGCTGTGTGGCCACGCCCAGTGCCCCTGCAGAGGGCCCCGTGGAGGGGCCCGAAGAGAACTTTGGTGCTCCCCGCTCTCGCCCCTGGCGAGACGCGCCGACGTCGAACCTTCTTGGACACGCCCAAAATGGGGTCCAGACAGAGTGGAGGAGAGGGAGGGGGAGGAGGAGGAGGAGGGAGGAGGAGGAGGAGGAGGAGGAGGGGGAGGGCGGGGGATGAGGAGGACCAGTGTAAACCCAAGAGTCACCAACGATGTTGGAATAAACCCTTTCGCCAAGCTCCCTCTTCATAGGCCCCATACAGCGGTTCAATTCCATTGAGGGAACTACCTCGTTGGACGACAACCGTTTGAATACCCTAAAGTGTGCCAAAACATTTCTCTCGGGATTCCATCGCCACGGATCAACCTGACGGTTGCGTTTTGATTATCTTGAATCGTGCCACAACGCCATTCTTGAATTTTCAACACCGCGAACGAACGTAACTGTTGCACCCTCATAATCCTGAACCTTTCCAAAACACCATTTCTGGTACTTTGATCATGGGAATCCAGGAAGCTCTTGTAAATATCATTAACGAATTTGCGCGGCGCTACGGCGGGAACCACATTTTGAAAAGAAACCGCCCTGAATCCGTGAAATTCTTGCACACTGTTCAAACGAATGTGCGCGGCGCTAAGGCGAGAGCCACATTTTGAAAACGGGTTCCCCTCACTCAATCTGTGAAGCTCCTGCAGTCAGTCTAACGAAGGTGCGCAGCATTTTGAAAAACGGCCCGCCCTCAATCCGTGAAACTCTTGCGAGTGTGTAGAACGAATGTGCGCGGCGCTAATGCGAGAGCCACATTTTGAAAACGACCCACACTCCATCTGTGAAGCTGTTGCGAATGTTGAAGCTTCAGGGTCATAAATGGTGAGACGGTCTCAGGCGAAACGCCCGGCCCGCCCTAAAAACTGGCCTCGGGGTGCGACAGGGACAGGGGTAAGTTGTTTTAAAGGAAAAGGAGTGGAGGAAGAGGAGGAGAGGATGAGGAGGAGGAGGAGGAGGCGGAGGAGCAGGAGGAGCAGGAGGAGCAGGTGGTGGAGGAGGGGGAGGAGGAGGAGGAGGGAGGAGGAGGAGGAGGAGGAGAGGAGGAGGAGGAGGAGGAGGAGGAGGAGGAGAGGAGGAGGGAGAGGCGGAGGAGGAGGAAGAGGTTTAGAAGAAGGGGGAGGAGGAGCAGGAGGAGGGCACCAGGCGTGGACTTGGCCGTCGTTCGTGGGGCCCGGACCCCCCCCGCTGCGGCAGGGTCCACGGCGGGAGGCCCTTCGACCATTTTGTCTGCCTCAGTTGGGCTTGCTCGTCGGGGAGGGGCCTCGACCAGCGCGACGAGCACGAGGAGGAGGACAAGGACGAGAATAAGGAGGAGGACGAGGAAGAGGAGGACGAGGACGAGAACGAGAGGAGGAGGAGAAGCAGGAGGAGGAGGAGGAGGAGGACGAGGAGGAGGAGGTGGGAGAGGAGCAGGACGAGGACGAGGAGGAGGAGTAGGAGGAGGACGAGGAGCAGGAGGAGGAGGAGCAGAAGGAGGAGGAGGAGTAGGAGGAGGACGAGGAGGAGGAGGAGGAGGAGCAGCAGCAGGAGGAGGACGAGGAGGAGGAGAAGGAGGAGGAGGAGGAGGAAAAACGACGACGAGCAGGACGAGGAGGAACAGGACGACGAGGAGGACGCGCACTGCGGGGGCGGGCCCCGCCCTCCTGGAGAGGCCGAGAGCGGGTTCGAGGAGGAGGTCCGCGTCCTCAGCAGGTTCCGCCACCCGAACCTCGTGACTCTGCTGGGCTTCGCGCGCAGCGGCCAGGAGCGTATGCTCGTCTACGAGTGCCCGGGCGGCTCCCCTCTGCTGCGAGCATGCCCTCAAAACTCTAGGCCTCCTAGATGGGGTCCGAGTAGATGAGGTCGGAGGATCGCGCCGCATCGCCGATGCATCGACGATGCGGGTCGATGTGGAGCCCGTGTTTCCCCGCACCGACGTCGCCGACGCATTGCTGACGTCGTCGATGCAGCGCCGGCGCATCGCCGATGCATCGCCGATGCATCGGCGATGCAGCGCGATCCTCCGACCACATCTACTCCGACCCCATCTAGGAGGCCTCTAAAAACGAACCACAGCCAATATCTCAAAGGGTGCGGCGGCGTGCCGAGTGCACCCACGGCCGCGCGTTGGTGTGCGAGAGTGAAAATTGTTGTGTTGGTTTGTGTGTTGGAGAGTTGTCTGAAGAGGTGTTGTAAGTCCGGCTGTCGATCGTGTGGCGCTGGAGGAACCGAGTGACGCGAGTTGGGCGTCGCGTAGAAGGGGGGGGATCAATGGGGGGGGCAGCGGGGGCTGCAGAAGAGAGGCCGCCGGGGGCCCAGAATGGGGGCCTTGGGGGCCCGAGACGTGCACCTGTCTCCCTTCCCCCGATGCATCGCCCGCGCACGAAGCTCAAGTCGGGCATGTCCCTCTACAGGAGGAATGTTCCAAAAATCATAGAAATAGCGTAGGCACTATCTTTAATAACCATTTGTTTGACGAGGTTGACTAGGTGTGAGTATTGCGAAGGCCTTACGGCCAGTGCCGCCGGCCCTGAGAACGACGAAGATGAAAACGGGGGGGGGGCAGGGGGAGGAGGTGGGAGGTAGAGGAAGGGTGGGGGAGGTGGATGAGGGAGGAGGAGGGGGGAGAAGGATGTGGAGGAGAAGCAAGAGGAGGAGAAGGAGGCAGAGGAGAGCAGGAGGAGGGGGACCAGAGGGGGGGGGGATGATGATGATGATGATGATGATGATGATGATGATGAGGAGGAGGAGGAGGAGGAGGAGGAGGAGGAAGAGGAGGAGGCCAGAGGCTTTCTTGGGACGACAGCCTGGGGTGTCTTGGAGACCTCTTGGGCCGTCTTGGGGCCTCTTGGGGGCATTTTGGTGGCCTCTTGGGCCGTCATGTGGAGGCCTCTTGGGCGATCTTGGGTCCATCTTGGGGGCCTCTTGGGCCGTCTTGAGCCGTCGGAATGCCGAGAAGAAGCAAATGCCAAAATCTTTCCCTCTTCGGGCCCTCCTGGAGGACCTCTTGGAGGCCTCTTAGGTCGTGTTGGGCTGTCTTGGAGGGTTCTTGGGCGACCTTGGAGGTATCTTCATCTCTCTGGGGCCGTCTTGGAGGCTGTCTTCGACCATCTTGGGCGGACTTGGAGGCCATCTTGGACCATCTTGGAGGCCATCTTGGGCCAACATAGCCATCTTGGAGGCCATTTGGGACTGCCTTGGACGGTTTTTCCCTACCTAGGCTCTGCCTAGAAGGGTTCTTACTCTCTGGGCTTAAAGGGGCCGGGCAGTGGAAAGTGCCCCGGGCGGTTCCCCCAGTATCCGCCCCGCGGTTCCCCCAGTTACGTCCCCTTAGCTTAGCGTTGCTTATCTCATCTTAGCTTAGCTTATTTAATCTTAGCTTTGCTTAGCTTCATCTGAGCTCAGGTTTAGCCTAGTTTACCTTCATCTTAGCTTCGCTGAGCTTTAGCATAGCAAATCATACATAGCATAGCATAGCGTAGCATAGCATAGCGCAGCACAGCATATCATAGCATAGCCCTGCATAGCATAGCATAGCGCAGCATAGCATAGCATAGCATAGCATAGCAAAGCGCAGCACAGCACAGCACAGCATAGCACAGCGCAGCATAGCATAGCATAGCAGAGCATAGCATAGCATAGCATAGCATAGCAGCAAAGCAAAAGCAAAGCAACAGCAGCGACAGCAAAGCAAAGCACAAGCAACGCAAAGCAAAGCAACGCAAAAGCAAAAGCAAAGCAAAGGAAAGGCAAAGCAAAAACAATGTGCGACAGATGCCGAGCTAGCCTCGATGGCTGGACCGGAGCCCCCGCAAGCAGTGCCTTCCGTAACCATTTCGGCTCAAGTCCGGAAGCCTTGCCACACAGCCGCCCACGCTCATGTCCCGAGGTTGGCGGAGTGAGGCGTTCAGCGGTGCTGCACAGCCCGCCTCGGCACCAGGTGGTGCTGCACAGCCCACCCGGCCTGCAGCGCTGCATTAGCATAGCACCGCATAGCATAACATAGCCAAGCGTAGCATAGCATTGCATCGCGCAGCATAGAATAGCATAGCATAACATAGCATAGCATATCATAGCATAGCATAGAGCAGCTTCGCATAGCATAGCATAACATAGCATAGCTTAGCATCGCACAGCGCACCATGACATATCATAGCTTAGCATAGCAAAGCATAGCATAGCATAGCGCAGCATATCATAGCATAGCTTCGCATAGCGCAGCATAGCGCGGCATAGCGTAGCAGAGCATAGCATATCAACTAATGCTGCTTTCATAGGGGCTCCGTCTTCTAGGTAGGGTCGCACTGGGGTAATTTTCGTGATTCCCTACCTAGGCTCTGCCTAGAAGGGTTCTTACTCTCTGGGCTTAAAGAGGCCGGGCAGTGGAAAGCGCCCCGGGCGGCCCCCCCAGTATCCGCCCCGCGTTTCCCCCAGCTACGTCCCCTTAGCTTAGCGTTGCTCATCTCATCTTAGCTCAGCTTATTTAATCTTAGCTTTGCTTAGCTTCATCTGAGCTCAGGTCTAGCTTAGTTTACCTTCATCTTAGCTTCGCTGAGCTTTAGCATCGCGAAGCACACATAACATAGCATAGCGTAGCATAGCATAGCGAAGCGCAGCATATCATAGCATGGCCCAGCATAGCATAGCATAGCGTAGCGCAGCATAACATAGCAAAGCATAGCAGAGCGCAGCACAGCACAGCACATCATAGCACAGCGCAGCATAGCACAGCATAGCAGAGCAGAGCATAGCATAGCGGCAAAGCAAGGGCAAAGCAGCAGCAGCGACAGCAAAGCAAAGCGCAAGCAACGCAAAGCAAAGCAAAGCAAAGCAAAGCAAAAGCAAAAGCAAAACAAAGGAAAGGCAAAGCAAAAGCAATGTGCGACAGATGCCGAGCTAGCCTCGATGGCCGGACCGGAGCCCCCGCAAGCAGTGCCTTCCGTAACCATTTCGGCTCAAGTCCGGAGGCCCTGCCACAGCCGCCCACGCTCATGTCCCGAGGTTGGCGGGGTCAGGCGTTCAGCGGTGCTGCACAGCCCGCCTCGGCACCAGGTGGTGCTGCGCAGCCCGCCCGGCCTGCAGCGCTGCATTAGCATAGCATAGCATCGCATAACATAGTCAGGCATAGCACATCATAGCATAGCATAGCGCAGCATAGCGCAGCATAGCATAGCATCGCATAGCATAGCATAGCGCAGCTTCGCATATCATAGCATAACATAGCATCGGAGGTGAGGGGGTGAGATCGAAGTGGAACGGAGAGCCCCCCTACCGGGAAATCGATTTCGGTTTCGCGTTCGTGCGTGCCGTGCGTGCGGGCGAGGCGAAGCTGCGTGGGCGGGCGAGAAGAAAGTCTCCTGTGGCTGAGGCGCGGCCGGACCAAATGTCTCCCTTCCGGGCGGCCGGGGGCCCGCGGTGTCCCGCCGGTGTCCCGCTGGTGTCCTGAATGGCTGAGGCGCGGCTGGACCAAATGTTTCCTTTCCGGGCGGCCGGGGGCCCGCGGTGTCCCGCCGGTGTCCCGCTGGTGTCCCGTGTGGCTGAGGCGCGGCCGGACCAAACGTCTCCCTTCCGGGCGGCCGGGGCCCCGCGGTGTCCCGCCGGTGTCCCGTCGGTGTCCCGTCGGTGGTGATGATGATGACGATGATGATGATGTTGACAACGATGATGATGATGGTGATGATGATGGTGGTGATGATGGTGAGTTCGGTAGTGAGACCGAATGTGAGATCGATTGCGAGATCGATTGTGATATCGATAATGAGGTCGATAGTGAGACCCAATGTGAGATCGATAGTGACATCGATAGTGAGTTCGATAGTGATATCGAATGTGATACCGATTGTGATATTGATTGCGATATCGTTAGTGAGATCGATAGTGAGATCGAACGAGAGGTCGATCATGACTTCGATAGTGAGTTCGTTAGTGAGATCGATAGTGAGACCGAATGTGAGATCGATTGTGAGATCGACTGTGATATCGATAGTGATATCGATAATGAGACCGAATGTGAGATCGATTGTGAGATCGATCGAATGAGGTCGATAGTGATATCGGTAGTGAGATCGATCGTGAGACCGAATGTGAGATCGATCGTGAGATCGATAGCCAAATCGATTGTGATATCTATTGTGAGATCGATTGTGATGTCGATAGTGAAATCGTTAGTGAGATCGAGTGTGATATCGATAGCCAGATCGATTGTGAGAGTGATCGAATGAGATCGATAATGAGATCGATAGCGATATCGATAGTGAGATCGATCGAGTGCGACGGTGGTCCCCCCCTCGCCTCCTTATCGCCCGAAGGGTGGTCTATGCGGTAGCATATCTTAGCATAACACAGCGCAGCATGTCATAACATATAATAACATATCATAGTCTAGCATCGCGCAGCGTAGCACAGCATACCATAGCATAGCAAAGCAGAGCAGGGCATAGCATAGCATAACACAGCTTAGAGCAGCATCGCATGGCATACCATAGCATGGCATGGCAACTAATGCTGCTTTCCTAAGGGCGCCAACTTATAGGTAGGGTCGCACTGGGGTAATTGAGGTCCTTGGCAATCTTTCCGGGTGGCCGGCGGAACGCGCCGGAGGCCCAGGGGGAATTGTTTTGGAAAAGAGCCTAAACCAAAACCGAGAGGGTCCAGAACGCCAGGCACCCCTGCGATGAATCGACAGGGGGCGGCGGATCTAGTGGCCTTCGGCCCATTCAACCACCGTGCGTGGGCTGTGGGTCAGAGCTCTCAGGGATGCTTCCGGGGGTCTCTATTTGGAGCGCTCTCGGGGTCTTCTAGGGGGCAGTTATCGGGCATCTTGGGAGCCTTGGGGGCCTCCTGGGGGCCTCCTGGGGGCCTCGTGGGACCCTCTTGCGGGCCTCATGGGCCTTTTAGGGGCCTGTTGGGGGGCCTCCTGAGGCGGGTAAGTCGGCCAGAGAGGCCAAGGCCATGCCAGTAGGGATGGGGATCGGTCAAACGTGACAAGATGCTCAGAGGTTCCTGGGCCTCGATGATGACCATCGGGACACAGACATCCTTTCTCTGGAGTTTCGCAATGCGGGTTCTCCAGAGGTCTGGACCTTTTCCCCAGGGTTGGCTCTTCATCCTGGGCTGTTTTTCGCGAGCCTTGAGACGGGGGTCAATGCAAACGGGGGTCAGCCACGGCACCGGATCCTGCAGGATCCTGCGAAAACCCTCTCTGGCTGACCCGGGTTAGCGAGCCGCTCGTGGCCGCGAGGCGGCCGCGCCTGTTGGCGGACCCGGGTTTGCGAAGACCTGCGTTTCAGTTTTCTGGTTCCCTGCATTGCAGTTTTTGGGTTTCCTGCTGACCCGGGTCTGGATTGGCCCGGGTCGGAAGATCCCCGAGTTTTTTTGATTGTCCCCAGCGAGGGCCCCCATAATTATGGCAAAACCGGCAACACAAACCCTCGTCGCGATTTTGGTCAGCGCGCGAGCATGCCTGGGAAGGCACCTGGACTTACCAGCCTCGAATGTATCCCTATCCCTAAGATTGACACGCCCAAAGGCGATGACAATCTTAGGGATTCGCCCTCAAAAGATAAGGGAATCCCTAAGATTGGCATCGTGATGAGGAGGTGCCCAGTATAGGGATAGGGATATGTTCAAGGCTGGTAGTTGACGGCGGGGGCCGGAGCTCGCGCATGGCCGAGGCCACGATCCGACGCGCCCCTGGGTTCTTACAGGAGGAGAGCATTCAGTGACACGCCTCCGTGAGGAGCTCGTCAGCGCGTTGCTCCTTCGTTTTGGTTCGAAGGTTCCGGGCTTCTGCTCCCCCGGATTCGATCAAGTTTCCAGATTCGATGCTGACCATGTCTAGGCCTCCCACCAGATGGGGTCCGAGTAGATGGGGTCGGGGGATCGCGCCGTATCGCCGATGCGTCGCCGATGCGGCTCGATGCGGAGCCCGATTTTCGCCACGCCGACGGCGGCGATGCATCGCCGGCGTCGCCGATGCATCGGCGATTCGTCGGCAATGCGTCGCCGATGTTTCTGCGATGCGGCGCTATTCGCCGACCCCATCTACTCCGACCCCATCCAGGAGGCCTCTACAGTGCCGTTTTTAACATATGCTCCGCGTGCGGATCACGTATTAACAATGCAGGGCTTTTGTACTGAAATCAACGAGGAGCTCATGTGTAGATTTATTCATACATTACTCATGTATGAAAATCCAATGTTTTTAAACATCCCATGCATTTAATACTGCCCTGTACCATTCATTCACCGGCCGGTTGTCTTCCCTCCTTCCTCCTGCTCCTCCTCCTCCTGCTGCCGCGCAGCCGCGCACGTTGTGTTTCTATGCGACCGCCGTAGTGCCGCCGCTCCCGCAAAGCGGTGAGAATCGGCTGGCCTTGTCTTCTTTCGCCCACGCGCTCGGGCGTATGGCATGAGTGAGTGAGTGAGTGAGTGAGTGAGTGTACCAGTCCTGCCCTCGGTCGAGGTACCTCGGAGGCGGGGACCTCTACTCGCGCATGGCCGAGGCCACGGCCGCCGACGGGGGCCGGCCCTTCCCGTGGCGGGGGCGCCTCTCCGCCGCGCGGGACGCCGCGTGCGGCCTGGCGCACCTGCACGGCTGCCAGCCGCGGGTCCCTCGGCCGCCCTGCGCTGCCTCCTCTTGGCATCGCTCGGACGTGTGCATTTTTCCTTCGGCGGGGACCATCGAGGAGCATCCTCTATCATGTGGCAAAAAACCACGCACGAAACCGAAAAAAGCGCAGGGAATGGACGTCCGAGCGATGGCCAGTCCTTAGGGGAACAAAAAGTGGCATAAACATAAAAACTCAGAGGTCCGCGCGGATTTCTCGGATCGGCGCTGGGGCCCCTCGGCGGCGCCTCCGGCGCCGCCCCTGGCGCGCTCCGCGCGCCAGGGAGGGGGGGTCCAGCGCCGATCCGAGAAATCCGCGCGGACCTCCGAGTTTTTATGTTCATGTCATTTTTTGTTCCCCTACTCCTTCCGATCCGCACCTCTCTCAGAGGAGTGAGCGCGCGCACTGCAGCCAGAAGATGCTGCGGGACAGTGTACCGACGCCGATGCCGCTGCTCGAAGAAGAAAGAACACCATAACCATAAACGTTCGGCGTTCCGCGCGGATTTCTTGGATCCACGCTGGGCCACCCTGGCGGCGCCTCTGGCGCCGCCCCTGGCGCGCCAGAGGCGCCAGGGAGGGGGGCCCAGCGCGAATCCAAGAAATCAGCGCGGAGCGCCACAAGTTTATGTTTATGGCGTTTTTGTTCTTCTAGATGCCGTTGTCCTTGCCTTTTTGTTCGCCTCTCGGGCCTCCTTGGAGGCTCTCGCTGTCCCCGCTGGATTCTCCTCGACACTCTGGTCAGAGCGCACCCGGGGAGAGGCTCGGGGAGTAGCGGGATCGGTGCCCTCTGCGTTCCCTCGAGGGGAGAGGCACGCCAGATTTGCTCACGTCGTGACTGTTCTTTTATCCCTTCCGGACGTAACGCATGTTACCCCCCCCACCCACCTTCCCCACGTAACGCTAATGTCAGGAAACCGGTTTCAGGCGTGAACGTGTGCAGTTCCCCATAGAGGAGGCGGAGGAGCAGGAGGAGCAGCAGCAGCAGGAGCAGCAGCAGGAGGTGGAGAAGGAGGAGGAGGAGGAGGATGGGGAGGAGGAGGAGGAGGAAGAGGAGACGGGAGGAGGAGCTGTGTAGGAGGCGAGGAAGGGGGAGGTGGAGAAGAGGAGGAGGAGGACGAGGAGGGAGAGGAGGAGGAGGAGGAAGAGGAGGAAGAGGAGGAGAAAGAGGAGGAGGAGGAGGAGCAGGAACGGGAGAAAGAGGAGGAGGAGGAGGAGGAGGAGGAGGAGGAGGAGGAGGACGAGGACCGACGTGACCCAGAGGCCCCGAGAGGTGCAAGCAGACACGGGGGCCTTGAGGGGCACACGGTTGTTGCCGCTGCTGTTGCGGCAACAGGTGGTTGTGGTGCACGCAGGCATCGGTGTGCACGCAGGGCGAGTACACACAGATAATGTGGTGCACGCAAACACGGTGGTGGACACGAGCGTTGCGGTGCATGTGGTTGCTTTTTTGTACCACTTCTATTAGCAATGCTATCACTACTACTACTTCTACTACTACTGCTGGGTCTACTACAACTGCTAGTAGTATTATAACAACTACTACTAATTCAGATTAGTAGTAGTAGTAGTACTACTACTACGACTACTATCATTATGATTAGGAGGCGTAGTAGTAGTAGTAGTAGTAGTAGTAGTAGTCGTAGTAGTAGTAGTAGTAGTAGTAGTAGTAGTAGTACGACGACGACTACTACGATTACTTTACTACCCTTGCTACTGTTACGACTACTATTACTACTACTACTGACACTGCGGTGCACCACAACTACTACGACAATGACGACTACTACTACTACTATTACTATTACTATTTCGACTACGACTACGACTATTAGTGTTACTACCACTACCATTGCTACTGCTACTACTACAGCTCGTATTGTTATTTCCATTGACATCACTACTACTATGTGTACTACTACTTCTACTACTACTCGTACTACTGGTTGTGCGATCCGTACTACTACTACTACTACCACCACCACCACCACCGCCACCATTACTACTACTATTACTACTACTACTACTACTACTACTACTACTACTACTACTAGTATGACTAGTATTATTACTATTACTACTACTACTATTACTACTACTGTTACTACTACTACTACTACTACTACGACTACTACTACTACTACTACTACTACTTCTACGATTCCCAGGACTACTACTACTGCTATTGCTATTGCAACTACTGCTACAACTTCCTCTACTACTACTACTACTACTACTACTACTACTGCTACTTTTGCGGCTACTACCATGGTTACTACTACGAGTCCTACTACTATTTGCACGAGTTCTACTACTACCATTATTATTGGTACTCGTACTACTATCACGACTACTACTACTACTACTACTACTACTACTACTACTACTACTACTACTAGTACTACTACCACTACTGCGGCTACTACTGCTACTACTACTACTACCACTGCTGCAACTACGACTCGTACTACTATTCATGCTAGTACTACAATTTTCTACTACTACTACTACTACTACTACTATCACGTACTACTACTACTACTACTACTACTACTGCGACTACTACTACTACTACTACTACTACTACTTCTACTACTACTACTACTACTACTATTCGTAGTATACTCATTACTACGACCACCGTCCCACTATTACGACTACCACCATAGTTCGTATTACTACTACCTTTTATACGACGGCTATGGTTATTACTATTACTACTACTACTATTACTACTACTACTACTACTACTACTACGATTAGTACTACTACTACTACTACTACTACTACGAGTAGTGCTATTATTATTTATATCATCTGTCTACTACTGTCATTATTCATCTACTACGACTATTTTTATTATTACTACTACTACTACTACGACCTACTACTACTACTGCTACTGCTACTACTACTACTACCACTACTACTACTACTACTACTACTACTACTACTACTACTATTGCCACAGCTGCTACTATTACTATTCCGTTTAGTGGTAGACCCACTAGTATTACTAGTACTACTAGCACTTTTAGTACATCTAGCACCACTGGAGTTTCGAGTAGTACTCGTACTATTAGTATTACCGGTACTACTCGTACTCGTGCTAGTAAGAGTATAAATATTTGAACTAGTTCTCGCCGCGGCGGCCGCCGTTTCCGTCACCTCCCCCCCCATGCCCCCCCACGTAACATGCGTTACCCCCCCCCCGGGAAAAAGAGCAGTCACGTCCTGAAAGAGTCACGGCGGGAGTTTGGGCCTTTTTCGGCCTCCCTGGGCCGGGCGCTTCAGAGAACGACTCGCGACGAGAAGCCGGCCCTGGGGAGTGGGTCAGGAGTTCGGGGGGGCCCGTGCTGAAGAGAGCAGGACCTCGCGTGTGTGGGACGCTGGCTATGGCCAAGACGTCGTGGCATATTGTCGTCGACGATGTTCGCCTTGACACCGACGCTTCTGCGCTCAGTCGTAATCGTGGTCGTCCTTGTCGTTCCCTGCGGCATCGTCAGAGCCGCGGCAGGCCCGCGTCGTCCCGACGTTGCGGCGGCCCCGCCGCGTGCGTTCATGTAGCCAAGACGCTGACACACGGAGCAGTTCGGGTGCGGATCCTCCTCCTCCTCCTGCTTCGTTGTTCCTTGGGTCCGTTCATGGTCGTTCCTCCGGCGCTCCTTGTGCACCCCGGCGCCTTTCGGGCCAGAATGGGGCTTCGTTCCTGATTCGGCGTTCTTTCTGGTAGTCGCGTGACCGTACCTGATTGCCGCCAGTGGCCCAGACTCGGCCGCTATGCAACGAACTGGCACTCGGAAAGCCGCCGATCGTTCAGGGTTGAACGATCCACGCGGTATCAAAAAATTCTTCACGCTTCGCGTATCCCCACCAGCCCATCTCAAAACAGCAACTCTAGCGAAGCATGCCGACAGTCGTGTTTTGCAGGCGTGGTTCCGCCTGCCCCCGCATATCTCCCCTGTTCCTCCTTCCTCCCGCCTCCTTGTACATCCTCCTTGTGGTGGGAGCGGGAGAAGGACGAGGCGGAGGAGGAGGGAGAGAAAGCGCTCCTCGTGGTTTGAGTCGTTCGGGCTTCTCGTCCTGGTGTGAGTCGTTCGGGCCCTTCTTCCTGGTGTGAGTCGTTCGGGCTCTTCGTGGTGTGAGTCGTTCGGGCTCTTCGTCCTGGTGTGAGTCGTTCGGGCTTCTCGTGGTGTGAGTTGTTCGGGCCCCTCGTCCTGGTGTGAGTCGTTCGGGCCCCTCCTCCTGCCCGTCCAGAAACGACGCCCAGGCGAGTAGAGGGTCGTCCTGATGGGCTTTTCGGCGTCTTGGGTGCCTCGGGGGGGCCTCTTTGGGCCGTTTGGGATCCTCTTGGGGGCCTCCTGGGGGCCTCTTGGGGCCATCTTGGGGCCTCTTGGTGCCTCCTGGGCGCTTCTTGGGGCCATCTTGGAGGAAATCGATCAAAGAAGAGGGGAGCTTTAATTAGCGCTGCCCCCTCAGAAGGCCAAAATGGAGCCAAAACCGTAGTAAAATCAATGATTTTGGCTTGAAAGAAGAGGGGAGCTTTAATTAACGCTGCCCCCTCAGAAGGCCAAAATGGGGCCACAACCGTAGTAAAATCAATGATTTTGGCTTCAAAGAAGAGGGGAGCATTTTTCTGCCTCCCCCCGTCGGGGCCAGAATCCTCGTGAGGGGTGTCGTTTTTTAGCCCTCCCAGGAGTCGAAAAAGACCCCTCCAACCACCCGCGGGGCGCCCTCTCCAGGCCCAGGGGGAGGGGGTAGGGGGAGGGGTAAACCCCTCCCCGAAGGGGAAGAAGGGGGTTGAGAACAGAGCGGGCTCTCTAAACCACTCACGCCCAAAGGGCTGGTGGGATTCAACGCCAGGGTCGCCACAACACGAATTTGCCGTACGGTCGGACCGAGGTGTAACATCGAGGTCAGGTCGGGGAGGGTACCCTAATGTTCTTCGTGTTTGTTGGATGTTCTTGTGCATCCTTTTGGAGGGCACCCTCGAAAGTTCCTCAGTTTGGTGGCTCTCATGCTCTTGAAGAATATACTTCTGTCCTAGGTCCGACCGTGTTTCCATTCTCAGTGGGCCAGGAGTTCTTAGCGCGACCAGCGTGGAGAGAGGGCACACACGCCTCAACCATGGGGGGGGGGCAATGGGGTCGGACAGAGGGGGCGAGGTCCTCCCAGCTGGGATGGGGGCGGGTCCAGCGATGCTGGCCCGAGGCCACAGTTTATCCATTTCTCCTTCCCAGCACACCCGTGTCAGTTCTCTGCTCGCACAGATGCCCCCTTCCTCTCTACCTCTCTCTCTCGCTGTGTGTATACGTGTCTCTCTCGTTCTCCTCCCCTGGCTTGCATCAGGCGCTCGCTTTGCCCCCGACTTCACCGCTGTGACTAGCGCGTCGCTAGGGCGGGCCTTCGCCGAGGAAAGATTGTGTGTGTTTGTGTGTTTGTGTGTGTGTGAGAGAGGGCGCCGGCAAGGCAAGACTGCGACCTGGAGCAGCTCGGGCACCACCTCGGCACATTGCGACCACTAGGAGCACAACAAGAGAGGCCGCTATGACGAGCGATGCGCGTCATGCAGCCCTGTGGGACATGGGACCCCCCGCGCCCCAGTGCCCACCCAGATTACCTGTGCCCTTGGCGTGTGGCCCTTCACGCTCTCATCTCTCACCGTCGCGTGTGAGCTTTTCGCCCCAACACCGGATTACCCTGATTGCCCGGCTGCCCGGGTCCTCGCATGATGGGTGGGCTTTTTGCCCGTCTCTCCGTTCGTCTTTCTTTCTCCCCGTGATGCAGGCTGCTCGCCCTTTCCCCCCTCCGCCTCGCTTCCTCCCTCGGCCGCGCCGCCAGGGCGCCGCCCCCTCCTGCAGCCCACTCGCGGCCCCGCCCGCGCTGCCATCCTCAGGGGGTTCGGCAGGGGTCCTCCCTGTGTTGTTCGGCAAGGGTGGTGTCCCGGCCTTTTGGCCCGCTGGCCCGGCCACTTCATTCGCCGTCCAGCGGCGCCGTGTGCGCTTTCCCGACTGTCACTGCCTGTCTTTTCACCCAGCATGCCCTTGGCATCGCTCGGACGTGTGCATTTTTCCTTCGGCGAGGACCATCGAGGAGCATCCTTTTGATCATTTGGCGAAAAAACCACGCACGAAACCGAACAAGAACACGGGGAATGGACGTCCGAGCGATGCCCAGTGCCTGGATGGTCAATTTTGCTTGGGTCCCCCGCCCTAGGCTCTCCACGCGGAGTCTCCGTCGTCTCAGCCTGCATGGGACAATCACAGTCCCAGTACCGGTCCAAGTGCTGCCACTTCATGGTCACGCACGTAGCGTTGCAAGGCCTCGGCCCGCTGCGTTGCGGCCGTTCTGGGCCATTCCGAGCGCGGCGTGTTCCTGTTCCACGGACTTCCCTTAAACGGTCTTTCGGCCGGCCGTCACTGCGCTGCAGGCCTCCTGTATCCGAGGTGTGTTCTCTCGGTTTCCCCACGCTCGCCACGTACCTTCCAAGGACTCTTTCTACAAGCTCCGGCTCCGGCATCCCGCTGCGCCGTTGAACAACATCGCCGTTAGCGTGGCCTTGCGGAATGTCTGCAATCTCGGTCCAACAAGTGCTAATCTCCACAACTTGTTAAGCAAGAGCGATCGCCGCCTGTTCTTTTTGACATGCGCACTGCAGCGCTGGGAATCACTAGTTTTCGAACCTGTCTCCCCATCTTCGTAATAAGAACCTGGTTTCGGATAGCACTTTGTGCACTTGCATTCTGCGCGGGCCTCCTCGGGAGGCCCGCAGACGGCTTCGCGCGCTTTCCCGCAGTCCCCCCTTCGGAGCCTCCCCCCGGGCGCCCCGCCGCAGGTCTTCCACCGCGACATCAAGAGCCCGAACATCCTCCTGGACCAGAACGGCACGGCGAAGATGGCGGACTTCGGCCTCGCGTGCCTCTCCCTCGAGCCCCAGCGCGCCGTGCGGGACCGCTCCGGGACGGTGGGCTACGCGTGCCCGGTCTACAGCCGCACGGGCGTGGTCACCGAGGCGTCCGAGGTCGGCGGCGCGCGTCGTGGGCGGGAGCCCTGTCCATGTCCACGGGGGGAACGTTCTCGCTGCGAAGAAATATTTCAGGAGGGAAAAAGACACACAGACAAAATTCATCGTCGATTTTCCAGAAAAATATGGGAAAGTATGGGCAGTGGGGGGGAAGACAGAAACCCAGAAAATACGGGAAAATATGGGGAATCATTTTATTTGTGTGTATTTATTTGTGTGTCCCAGGGCCCCTTCATCCATGTCCACGGGATGAACGTTCTCGCTGCGAAGAGATATGGTGACGAGGAGGGGAGTTCGGCCGTATTCGGCCTCCGGTGGCCCTCTCACCGAGCCTCGGGACCCTCGGGGAAAGGGTCCAGGACCAAAAAAACCGGCCCCCGGGTTCTCCCGCGGAAAGAGCTTCAGGGCTCAGGGGGTCCAGCTTGTGAACAAGTGACGGCCTGGAGTTTTGGGCTCCCTTCCCAAGAAACCAGAGGCGCAATGGGCATGGACAAAAAATCTGGCCCAAGGAGGCCAGATTTTGATCCATGTCCACTGTGCGAAGCATGTGCTCGACATCGCCAAGCCTGGGTGCCTCCAGCACTATTCAGATGTGTGCCGAAGTTCGAAGCATTCCTACAGTCTCCCTGGCCGAAGCCCCACATGCCACCACGCTGGTCCCGGGCAGGCGGTGCTGCCCGGCGGAAGAGGAGCTCTGGTCAAGTCGAGGGTGGGAAATCCACGGCCTCGCGGGCGCTGCCCCTGTAGGCCGCGACCCTTTGTTGCGAATGCTCCGCGCGGCACGTATCCATGCGACCGCATATATCCGCGGGATCGCGTCCCGAAATCCAGTTACCATATGGATCTATGCCGGCCGCTCGTGAGTGGTCGGGGGGCGGCAGGGCTCGTTTCGATTCCTCCGATTCGATTCGATTTCGATGGTTTCCGATTCCGATTCGATTTTGGATTCCGATTCGGGCTCCGATTTCTCAACGGAGGCCCACTAGCCTGCCGATTTCTACGGATTCGACTCTTCCCGACTCGGCTGCCGATTTCCGCCGATCCGACTCATTTCGATCGCCGATCCGACTCGTCGACTCGATTCTGGGCTCTCCTGGGGCGGGGGGGCAAGGGCTCGGGGTCTGCGACGGTCTGGGGACGATGCTCGGGCTATTTTTTGGACCACTGTTAAACATATCTTCTGACTGAAACAATATTTCCTTCCGAATCTGCCTGTAGGGGGACATGCCCGACCGAAGGCAAGGACTCGGGGCCTGCGATGGCCTGCGGGAGCCCCTGGAGCAGCGGGGGGGGAGGAGGAGGAGGAGGAGGAGGAGGAGGAGGCGGAGGAGGAGGAGGAGGAGGAGGAGGAGGAGGAGGAGGAGGAGGAGGAGGAGGAGGAGGAGGCGGAGGCGGAGGAGGAGGAGGAGGAGGAGGAGCCCCCTGTTGAGCACCCCCCCGGGCTCTCCCGGGCCCCCCCCCCCGGGCCGACCAAAAGAGTTCCAGGGAGCACGACTCAGCCACAAGAGCGGCGCAATAGCGCCCAAGACGACCCAAGATGGCCTCAAGATGGCCGAAGAGCCCCCAGGAGGCCCCCAATACGCCCCAAGAAGGTCAAAAAAATGCTCCTCAAGAGCGCCCCAGATGTCCCCAACTTGCCCCATTCCCTTCGGAAAGTGTGCATTTTCAGCATGCTCGCGTCTTTGGTCTTTTAACAGCGTATAACAGCGTCCAAGACGGCCCGAGAGGCCCCCAAGATCGCCCCAAGCCGGTCCACGAGGCCCCCAAGAGAGCCCCAAAACGGCCCAAGAGAGCCCCAAGACGGTCCAAGAGGCGCACCTGACGGCCTGAGATGGGCCAAAGGGGGGGTAATTCCACCTCACATTCCGAGCCCTCCGCCCCAAGTCGACCCCCCAGACAGCCAGCAGCTCCCAAAGAGGCCCAAAAGAGGCCCCAAGAGGCTCCAAACAGCTCCCAAGAGGCCCCCTAGAGGCTTCACAAGTGGCTCCCAGAGGCGCCCGAGAAGCATGCCAAGAGACCCCGAACAGGTATCCCAGAAGCCTCTGACCCACAACCCAGGCACGGTGGCAGTATGAGCCGAATGCCCATAGATAAGCAAACGTATTGCCTGGTGAAGGGCGCAACCTTCTGCAGTCACGCGTAGCGCAGGGCGCGGCTCTCTCTTCAAAAACTGCGCGCCGCGGGGCAATGCGGATGGGGGGCGTGCGCAGGCGCGCTGATTTCCTTGTTGTGGTCACGGTCCGCGTGAAGGGTGTGCCGAATAATCTTGATGCACCCGCGGGAACACGCCCACCACCAACGCAGCAGGTGCAACTCCCTGTGGGTCACCACCCGTGTGAGGCATGTGCCGAAATGGGCGGGGGGACGCCATGCGAAGCTGCCCATGAGCTCCACATGTGGCGCTTCTTCCGGGGCACGATTCGCGTGAGGGGCGAACCGGGTTCCACTAGAGAGGCAAACAAATCTTGGAGGAGATATTTTGGTGGCTTCGCAACGTCGCATCTGAAGATGTGTTGATGGACGCGGTGCAGGAGCAGCAGCTGCCGCCGAATTATTGATGGCAGTTCAAGGCTGCGTGGCTGCTACGGCAGCTACCAGGCTTCAAGTCAGAGGCCAGAGCCATGCGATGGAACCAACCGACATAAGCGTGTGATCCGTTGGCTATAAAAAAGCGGCCCAAGATGGTATCAAGACGGTCCCAGTACGGCCCAAAAAGATTTCCAAGATGGTCCAGGAGGCCCCCAAGACGGCTCCCAAACGGCCCGACATTCCCCGAAGACCGCATATCCAGCATGCTTCCGAGGCTCCAAGACAGCCCAAAGACGGCTGGCAATGGCCAGTAAGTTCTTTAATCATGCCCTCGACAAGCCATAGTCATCGATCTTCATGCCCCGCCGGTGCGACCTGGAGGGCGGGGCGGCCTTCGATGCACCCTGGCTCGGCCCTGGTGGCGTGTACGTAGCCAGACTCGGGCGCCCCTCTGCTTTGCTCAGTTCCTCCTCCTGTCCTAGGGCGGATCGAGAGAAGCGCAAGATGCGTAGAAGAAGTCCTCACGACTCCCCTACACGTCGCCGGGGCCCGCAAATTTGATAGCCGCAGGTCCCATTACCACCCCCAAGAAGCTCCAGAATCGCCTATTCATGTCGCATTGGCAACTCGCGATGCGAGTTCCTTCGGCGCGGCTAGAACCTAAGCGCGCGCGAAGCGCGCGTGGTTCTAGTCAATGAATATGGCCTCTCCAGGCCTTCTTGAGAGAGTCTTTTTGGGGCTCTCTTGACCCGCTTGGGGGCCTCCTTTGGCCGTCCTCAGGCGTTCTTCGGCTGTCGTGTGGGTCTTGGGCCGTCTAGGGGCGCTCTTGCGGATCTGTCGTGGCGACCTCCCCTCCTCCAGCGTATCTACAGAGGGCCCCTCTGTAAAATCCGCAAGCGGGGGATGGTATTCTGACCCGGGACCCCCTCCCGGGACCCCCCCCCGGGACCCCCCCCTGGACCCTCCCCCCCCGCGGGGAAGGGATCAAAGAGAAGGGGCTTCCCTTCGGCTCAATAACAACGTTGTTAGTTTCGCTTTGGCTGGGTTGTTTCATTTCGCTTTGGCTGGCCCGCTTGATGACGAGGGCCTAGGGAAAGAGGGTGGGAGCGGCGACGGACCCAGAAAAGAAGACGACGAATACGCACGAGGATAACAACCACGACGAGCAATCCATTCCACACGCCGACAGGGTCGGCGGATTTTCTATTTAGAAAGCTGTGAACTGCTCTAGAGGGTTCAAGAGCACTCTGGGGTGTGTTATTGAATGATTCGCAGAGCTCCAGCATGCTCTAGCAAAGATTCCTCTCGCTTCGCGGGGTGCACGTCCGGAGCACGTACAGTCACGTCGTCGCGGGGCCTCTTGGGAGCCTCTTGGGGCCTCCTGGAGGCCTCCTGGGAGTTTCTTTTAGCTTTTGGGGGCTTCTTTGGTGCCTTTCCCCCCTCCCTCCTTTTCATACACCCTCCCCATCTTCCCTTCCAGCGCCGGCTCTATTCATGGGCGCCGCAGTGACCAACTTCCACCTGGCTGGCGCTACGCCGCAGTTCGCCCAGAGGGGGGAAAATAACATTACACTCCAGTCGCTGTGTGGCCTTTGGGGAGTTTCGGGGAGCCTTTTGGAGGCTTCTGTGGAGCTTTTTGGAGGTTTCTTGGGGGCCTCCTGGGGCCTCTTGGGGGCGTCTTGGGCCGTCTTGGGGCGCTTTTGCGCCGTTTCGCCCCCTCGGAGGCTGTCTCGGGGGCCTTTCGCGGGCGTTGGAGCCCTCTTGGGGTCCTCTTGGGCCGTCTTCGCGGCCTCTTCGACCGTCTTGGGGGCCTCTTTGGGCCGTTTTGGGGCCCTCTCGGGCCGTCTTGGGGCCCTTTTGTTTTTTTTTTGGAGTTGTTCTGGGGCGATTATGGAAGCTGCTTGGGCCGTCATAGGTTTTTGAGAGTCGAAGAAGGCGAGAACGCTAAATTATTGCAAAAACTATTAAACAATAAAATGCATGATTTCGGCCTCTGGAAGCGCAATTGTGGGCGCTGTTGGGGCCCTCTTGGGCCGTCCTTGGGGCTTTGGGGGGCCTCTTGGGCCCGTCTTGGGGGCCTCATGGGCCCCCGTTGGGAATATCTTGGGCCGTTTTGGGGCCGTCTTGGGCCGTCTTGGGGCCATTTTGGGCCATCTTTGGGCCCTCGTGGAGTCCCAAGAGGCCCAAGAGGCTGAAATTGCTGATTTTTCATATGTGTTTGTAGGTTTTTCGGGCCCCAGAAAGGGGGCGACCAGTTTGGTACGGCGGTGTGGCGCGGCTCCCAGGGAGGGGGGGGGGTAGGGGGGAGACATAATAATGTAACACTATACGATATGTTGGAATTATGGAATCTTTGGATACATTGGATACGTTGCATTAAGGCGTTCGCCAAAAAAACGCTGCCGTTCAGCACGTCACCTCCGGACGTGGATTCTACAGGCTTACGCCACATCCGCCGACCCTTTCTGTGAGTGTTGCGAGGCCAGGAGTTTTTGGCCAGCGGCGTCTTGAGTGAGGGTGCGGTGTCCCGCGAGGGTGGTGGCAGATACGTAGGGGGTCAAAATGTTTGCGTGATGCCGGTGGTCCGGGGCGTGTTTTGCGAGCGCCTTGCGTGCTGTGCACCCGGGTGCGGGGTGTCCTTCTGGGAAGTCGGCCTTTCGACTCGCAACCAAGTGGAGGACTACCGGAAGACGAAAGGAGCAAGAGTGGTGTGCGGAAGCTGTGATCAGCGAGGCATCACCGCGAAAGATGTGGCAGATGTGTCGAAACGGATGAAGAGGCTGTTGACGTTCGCAGCGCGCACGAAAAAGTTCGCGCGACAGCAGCACATTAGCGCCGAGCAAGATAGTGAGCATTTCACGAGGAAGAGCAAGGCTGTATGCGCGGAGTGCATTGCAGCTGGCTTCACGGCTCGCAATACGGAAGCGTCTGGGAGTCTTTTGGGGGCCTCCTGGGGGCCTCCTGGGGGCCTCTTGGGGGCTCATTGGGGCGTCTTGGCGGCCTTTTGGGGGCGTCTGGCAGCCTCTTGGGGTATTCTTGGGGCCCCCTGGGGCTCGTGGGGGCGGGCAGCTAGATTGTTGAATTTTTGGTTGCCCTCTTGGGCCCCTCTTGGTGCCATCTTGGAGCCTTCTTGGGGCCGTCTTGGGGGCCTCTTGGGCCGTCTTGGGGCGGTCTTCGGGGCCTCTTGGGCCGTCTTGGAGCGTCGGAAAGCCCACGAGGCGAATTTGTGAAAATTATACGTTTTACGGAAATGAGCAAATCTTTGCGTCTAGGGACCTTCTTGGGACGTATCTTGGAGGCCTCTTGGGGGCGTCTTGGGCCATCTGGAGGCCATCTCGGGTGTCTTTGATCGCTCTTGGGCCGTCCGGGACTATATTAAACTCTCTTGGGCTCCACTTGGAGCGTTCCTGGAGCGCTCTTGGGGCCGTCATCGGGGCTCTTGGGCCGTCTACGGCGCCTCTTGAGCCGTCTTGGGGCCCTCTTGGGCTGCCTTGGGGCCCTCTTGGAGGCTTCTTGGACCGTCTTGGGGCGGTCTTGGGGGCCTCTTGGGCCGTCTGGGAGCGTCGGAAAGCCCAAAGGGCGAATTTGTGAAAATGTGCGTTTTACAAAAGGGAACGGGCAAATTTTTGTGTCTAGAAGCCCTCTCGGGACGCATCTTGGATGCCTCTTGGGGCCTCTTGGGGGCATCTTGGGCCGTCTGGAGGCCACTTTCGGTGTTTTTGATCGCTCTTGGACCGTCTGGGAACATATTGAGCTCTCTTGGAGGCCACTTGGAACGCTCCTGGAGCGCTCTTGGGGCCGTCTTCGGGGCCCTCTTGGGCCGTCTTGGACGCCTGTTGGGCCGTCTTGGGGCCCTTTTGGAATATCTTGGGACACCCTTGGAGGCTTCTTGGGCCGTCTTGGGGCGGTATTGGGGGCCTCTGGGGCCGTCTGGAAGCATCGGACAGCCCAGAAGGCGATTTTGTGAAAATTGTACGTTTTACGACGGGAATGGGCAAATTTTTGCATCTACGGACCCTCTTGGGGCGCATCTTGGAGGCCTCTTGGGGCCTCGTGGGGACCTCTTGGGCCGTCTAGGAGGCCTCTTAGCTCGTCTTTGGGCCATGTTGGGCGTCTTGGAGCGCTCGTTTGGCGTCTGGGGGCCCTCGTGGGCCGTCTTGGAGGCCTCTTGGGGCCTTCTTGGCCCGTCTTTAGGCCCTCTTGGGCCCTGAAAAGCCCCGTGGTGCGCTCGTCCGGGGCGACGGTGGGGGTCGAATCTCCGGTTTGGGGTCCCTTGGGGGGGTTATTAGGCGGGGGACTATCTCACACGCCTACAGACCCACAAGGGGTCGGCGGACTTCCTAGGTGGCTCCATAGGCTTGGGAATGCAGTGTAGAGGGCCTAGGGTGCTCGAGAAGAGCGCAGAAAGCTCGAGTGATCCCTGAGGCCTTACAGGGCACCAGCATGCTTTCGAAAGCCTGGACAAAACAACGAGGATCACCACCAACAAGACAGACCACCGCCACTAACTCTCTCAAGGGCGTCGGGGGGGGGGGGAAATTCGGCCCTGGAGCCGGCCGTTTCTGCCTTGGCTGTGCGGTGGGAGCCTGTCCGAGGTCACCCGTGGTCGCCCGATCTGTCTAACCCACGGGAGAAAGAGAAGGAGGAGGAGGAGGAGGAGGAGGAGGAGGAGGAGGAGGTGGAGGAGTGGTCCTTGACATTTGGAGCGATCGTTGGCACGTCTTTCAAAGAGCCTTCACCCTCTCCGTATTTGGTATGCTGCCGTTCTTCACGTTTGTCGGTCTCACCTCTTTTCTCAAGTTTGCGTCCCAGGTTCTAGCCTGCGGTCGGTTGTTCTTGCTGTACAGCTTGACGACGGGATTGGGAGGGGAGAGGTAACGAGCAATTTCGAGGCCCGAGTATATGCACATCGACCGCCTGCTTCGGCTCCCGAAAGTCGACCCCCCAGGCGGCAGTCATGGATAGACCCTCGCCCTCGCAGAGGAATGCCCTGCTCCTCGCCCCCTGGATTGTCCCGCCCACTTCAGAGCAGCAGGAGATCCTGCCCGTCCTCGCAATTCCTCCTGCTATCCCCAGGCATTTTCTTCTGGAGGCGCAGGAACAGAGAGAGCAGCAGGAGCAGCAGCAGCAGGACAGGGAGGTGGAGGGCTGGAACGATGGCGAGGTGTTCTCCTTCGGCATGGTCCTCCTGGAGTTGCTGACGGGCTCTCCGGCGGCGTGGGCAGTGTCGCCCCCAGCACCGGACGGCGAGCAGGAGGGGTGGGGGTCCTGTTGGTTGCTGTTGCTCCTCGTTTGTCCCTGCTCCTCTTTCCCTCGTTCTCCCTCCTCATCTCCGACAGGGCCAGGACGAGGATGAATCCGCTCCAGGGCGTTCCAGAACACTCCCAGAGCGTTCCAGAACGCCTCTGGGCAGACCGCGGCGCCCGAGACGTCCACAAGAGCCGCGGGATCTAAGAGATTCTCGATCCATCCTGACCCGAACTTGTCCTCGTCCTTGCGCCTCGTCTTTCAGGAGGGAAAAAAACACACAGAGACAATTCATCGTCGATGCTCCAGAAAATATGGGGAAATATGGGAAGTGGGGGGGAAGACAAAAACCCAGAAAATATGGGATAATATGGGGAATCTTTTTATTTGTGTGTGTTTATTTGTGTGTCCCAGGGCCCCTTCAGTCTTGTTCCGCCCTCCTCGTCAGGGCGTGACGGCATCGCACGTCCTCCCGTCCTTCTGCGCCGGGTCCTGCCGTCCTCCCTTGCCGCTCGTCGTGCTCCTGGTGATCGGCATTGCCGTTTCGGCTTTCTCCTTGACGTTTGGGATTCTGTCGGCCACGCGCAGAGGGGTGGCAGGGGGGAGGTGGGAAGGCTTCTCTCAGAAGCACCCCTGCTCCTCGGAGTACGCGGGCCTTCTCTGTAGACGTAGGGCCGGCGCCTTCTGAGAGGCAGCCTCCTTCTAAGAGGCTCACGAGTTGTCGAAGATCTGGTTCTGTGGCAGTTGTGGGTCCATCGGCCATGCTCGTCTCAGTGAGAAGTTGGCGGAGCCTTGCAGTCTAATTACTTCCACTGGCAAGGAGTACTTCCGTCGTTTAGAGAGAGAGAGAGAGAGAGAGAGACAGGGAGAGAGAGAAAGAGAGACACAAACAACAAGAAATAAAGACATATCGTTGGCCTAACGTGCTCAGCAAAGCTGAGCAGGCAGCCAGGGCTTAATGTACATGTATATATATACACATATCTATATACACATATAGACTTGCTTCGCGACCGCTCCTACCTCATCTCCCCCTCCCCCATACCCCCGCGTGCGCGCCGCCAATTGTCAACGGGCGAAGAGCGGTATAACATAAGCTTCTTCGCTGTCGGGGGGCGCCTCTTCCAGGGCGGCTGGAAAGTTTATACCCTTACGGTGGCACCGCAGGGGTATAAACTTTCCAGCCGCCCAGGGACAGGCGTCCTCGACGGCGGAAAGCAGACAAGTTTTGTAGCGTTCTTCGCTCGCTGAAATTGGGGTCCTTGGCGGTGGCTGTCAGGCAGCGGGCCACCTCGGCCCGCGATTGCACTTTTGCGGCTCGCGTGCGCAGAGGAGGCCCAGGCATCTGCGCGCGAGGCCCGAGGGGGCGCGCTGGGTTCACTTGTGGCGCTTCTCTGGGGGGGTACCGTCCACGGCGAGAGCTGGGCAATGTCAGACTCAGGTCTGGTCCCCGTCTTTGGTCTGCAGTGGGTGCCCATGCCAAGAAACACCCTGCTCGCCTTCAGGGTGCCCTGGGATTCCTTGGTTTCGGTGATTCTGCTATGGAAAGCGCGACGCGCCGTCTTGGGGTCTTGAGCCGTCTTGGAACGTCTGACAGCCGAAACCGCGAGAAGGCCATCGTCCTTCAAAAACCTTTTTTGTAAAATCGACGATTTGGGCCTCTTGGGGCTCTCTCAGGAGGCCTCTTGGAGCGCTCTTGGGGCCTCTTGGGGTTGGGGCCTCTTGGGGTCCTCTTTGGCCGTCTTGGAACCATCTGCGGGCGCCTTGGAGCACTCTTGGCCTCGGCTTCGCGAATACGGTGTCAGTTGCAATGGTTAATGGCCTCGGGGACGTGAACATTGCGTAATTGACATGGGATCCTGGCCTTGGGGGCGCGAATCTCATGTGTTTTTGCGTGTCCCACGCCCCCCCTCGAATTCAGAGTGCGCGATTTGGGCGTGGCAACCGCGTGGTTTGGGGCTCCCCCCCCTCGCGCGGACTTCAACAGTTTACAGTAGGAAGCAGAAAGCAGAATTGTAACAATGGAGACTTGAAGCTGAAATTGGTGAAGAGAGCAGCACATTTCGTCCTACAGCCTGGTGGCCCCAACAAGGGGGCGGGCATATTTTTCTTCCCAAATCCGCCTGTGGGGGGACATGCCCGACCTAAATTGAATCCCGCTTCACTCGGCTTAATCTTGGGCTGAATCAGGGCTCCTCCGGCTCGGTAATTAGCCACTTTGTCGGGCTGAACTGCCCCTGGATCGTTTTTAGGAAGACCTTCCAGGAGATACAGGCCTCGGAAAAAATAGCGAACTTTCATGCCACATTCATCTGTCAACGCCTCCCCCTCCCACCACTGCTCCAAGATGGTGGTGGGTCTGATGAGCTGCATCTCGGCCGCAGTCTCCCCGCACGTGCCAACTTTGAGTTTGGGGGGGAGGGGGAGTGTTCAGTAATTGTTTCCCTCTACCCTACCTCCCAAGACAGGGGCGGGTCGCCAGGCGTACGACTTCCTCCTCCTGCACATCGGCGGGGATCTGGGTGCAGCCCCCTCGGCAGCGTCCCGCCCCCCGGTCGGCCCGCGCCGCGGCCTCGTCGTCCTCTTCGTCCTCGTCGTCCTCGTCCTCGTCGTTGTCCTCGTCGTCCTCTTCGTCCTCGTCGTCCTCGTCCTCGTCGTCGTCCTCGTCCTCCTTGTCGTCCTCGCTGTCGTCGTCGTCGTCGTCGTCGTCGTCGTCGTCGTCGTCGCTGGCCGCTCCCCGTCGCCGCCGCCGCCGGCCGATCCTCGTGCTCGTCGCCTTCGTCGGCGCCCTGCCTCTCCCAGCAGGCCGCCCTGGCCGTCCCTCCTCGTCCCTGCCGCTCCGTGCGCGCCCCGGTTCGTGCACAACGCACCCGGAGCCGCTCCCCCTCGCCGAAGCCCCCCCCTCGGGGTTCGCCGCTCCTGCCCCATGCTGCCCTCCTTCGGACTCGCGCGTGTAGTCGGCGCAGCGGAGATCCGAGGCCAGCTCCTCCTCGTGGACGTCGTCGTCGCCGTCGTCGTCGTCGTCGCCGTCGTCCCTTCCAGGACTCATCTCGACTCCTCCGACTCGATCCGAATCGATTTCGATCGGTTCCGATTCCAATTGGACTCGGCTTCGGATTCCGATTTGGACTTCGGTGTCTCAGTGGAGGCCTTACTAGACTCCCGATTCCCGCCGACTCGACTCCTCCCGACTCGGCTGCCGATGTTCGCCGATCCGATTCATTTCGATCGCCGATCCGACTTGTCGATTCGATTCTGGGCTCTCCTGCCCTTGGCTATCCTCCTTCGGACTCGCGTGGAGTCTACGCAGCGGAGATCCGAGGCCAGTTCCTCCTCGTGGACGTCGTCGTCGTCGTTGTCGTCGTCGTGCTCCGTCCTCCGCGAGGGCTGGGGGCAACATCAGACTGGGGCGTTTCCGAGGTATTGCTCTGGAAGGCGAGTCTTCCTCCAGCTCCCCGGGTTCCCTGGTTTTGCACCTCGATCGTTTTTGGAAGCATTGCAACGCAAGGCATTGAACTGCCAAGCAATGCCAAGCGATGTGAAGCGATGCCTCAACCAATTCCAAGCAACACCAAGCTGTGCCAAGCGATGCCGAGCCAATTGATGCAAGGAACCGCCAAGCCATGAGGAGCAATGCCAAGCAACGCCAAGCAATGCCAAGCATCGCCAAGCAACGCGACGCAATGCCAAGCGACGCCTATCGATGCCAAGAAATGCCGGCCAATTCCAATCAACGCCGTGCAATGGAAAGAAATGCTAAGCAATGTCAACCAATGTCAACCAATGTCACGCAATGCCAAGCAACGCCAAGCAAGGCAAAGCAAGGCAAAGCAATGTCAAGCAATGCCAAGCAATGGCAACAGCGCGCCCCGTTCATATTTTGTTTGCGTCTGTTGGACTGCCGAATTGCCTGTTGCGATCTCCCCGACCTCTGGGGACCTCAGGAGACATCCTCATTATCCTCTCTCTCCTCTTCCTCCCGTTCCTCCATGCTGCTCCCCGTCTGCGAGGACAACGACGACGACGACTCGTAGATGTAGTAGACAGATCCAGGAGGAGTATGCAGGCAGGCGTCGCCCCGAGTGGTGCGAGTCCTCTTGCTCGCGCTGCTTCCGCCTCTGGGCCCTCCTGCTGATCCTTGATCCTCCTGCTTGTCGTCCTCAGCCCTGCTACGGTAGGTTCGTGTCGTGCCGGCGTGGCGGTGGCCTTGGCCGCGGCCGCGGACGCGGCGGCCGCGGAGGCTGCCGAGGGTCTGTGCGAGGCGGTGTGCGCCACTTTCAGCGCGGCTGGACGCCTGTCCGGGTCGCCGCGCGCCACCTCGGCCTGCCCGAGGGCCGGCGCCGGCCCGCGGCCCGCGGCCGGGTGGTGCGGCAGGTGGCGCGCCTGGCTGCGGCGCAGCTCCACGAGCTCGCCGAGCAGCTGGGCGCCGCAGACGAGCCGCGCGGCGCGCGGCGCCGGTCTGCGCAAAGCCGCAGCCCGGCTGCGCACAGCTGCTTTTGCTGCTGCCGTCTTCTTCTTCTCCTCCCTTCCCCTGCTGCTCTCCTCTTTCTTCCTAAGCCACGGGGCGACCCTCTCGCGCAGGTAAGAAGTGTCGTGCCGACGTGGCGGCGACCGCGCCGTGAGCGTTCCGTGTTGAACGCCGCCAGCGGTCCAAACATCGGCCAATCTGCAACGATATAACGAAGGTAGAACGATGCACGCGGTGTCAGAAACCAATACCAGGGTCATCGCGACACGGACTTGCCGTATCCTCCTCGCCCTGTTGTCCCCCTCTACCCGCATCTTCGTCTGCGTGCCCCCCCTCCTTCCCCCAATTTCCTCCTCCCGTGCCCGCCGCCCGCGGACTTGGTGGATTCGCCGGGGCGAGTGCAGGCGTTTTCCAATTTCACCTTACTATCCAGACGAGACAGGGGCACCCTACTGGAAGCCGATCCGCTTGACGGGGTGCAATGTAGACGATCGTGATCCCGGCCGCGAGGGTTGCCTCGCCCCCATCGCCGTCACCGCCGTCGTCGCCATTTTCGCACCCGCGGCGACGCCGTCCTCTGTGCCATTCCGGCCCAAACCTGATTTACATATTCCGATGCCGAATGTCAGCCAAATGCCGAACATTTAATTGACGCCCTTCTTACGCTCTGCGACCTGGCACGTGAGGTGGGCGCGCTGCTAAATCGGCGCAAGATCGACTTTTCGAGCGCGTGCTTCGATGCGTTCCGTGCCCAGGTGGCGGCTGCCTGCTCCACGCAGGACCGGCGTCGTCGCGCCGAGGATGCGCGGTCCAACCGCCGATCCGTTCCGCTCCCGCCAGGGCCAGGGGTTCAAGGCGCGCGACTCGGCGCAGGCGCCGGAGGCACGTCAAATCATAAGTCACCACCTACCAAACCACCCCAACCCAACCCGAAGGCCTCAATGTGCCCTCCATTTTCAGTGCGGGGGGGGGGTCGGGGAACATCGAGGAAACACATATGGAGCCCATACCCCCCCCAACCCGAAATTCGGGTCTTCGGGTTGGGTTGGGGTGGTCTGGTAGGTAGTCAATAAGGCGCAGACTTCGCCCGCGGGCGCTGTCGCTTCGTCAGCGCAGGCGCTTCGCACAAGTCGGCGCGCCAAACAACATGGCGCATGTGTCGCCTCGCCATCTGGTTGTCGGCGCAGCGCAGGCGCCGAGGGCGTTGATTTTCATCGGCGCCGGCGCCGCCCATGGTAGAGCGCAGGCGCTTCCGTCGCACCAAATGGTGAGGCGGAGGCGTCGCCCTGTGACCGCAGGCGCCGGCGCGGGCGCTCCCGCTCTGGGTTTTTTTTTTACACGGCGCAAGCGCGCCACCCCGTGTGGGGCCATGGAATCATCGAGATTTTCGGGGGAGGAGGGGGTGGTGCGGGGGAGCGCGCGCGAATATCAGCATTCAGTCCAGCGCCGCTGCTCCAGACGAAGCGTCGCGCCCTGTGCGGTGGCGAGCGCGGGGCGTGCGGGGTCGGGGAGGCGGTGGGACCACGGAGCGAGGCCCCGGAAACTTGGGCGAGCAACGAGGAGCCGCGGCGGCGGAGTCTGAGTTCTTTGCGCGCGCGCGCCACTCCGCGCGAAGGACGCAGTAAACTCACCTGGCCCAGCGCGCGCCTGTGACGAGCATTAAAAAATGGCGGCGCCGATTTAGAAACAAAATGGGAATGCGCCTGTATGGATGCCCCCTCTGTTCCTTCCTTCTCTATATGTTCCTCCTTTTCCTCTTCCTCCATTCGGCGTCTCGCCCATGGGGGAAACAGGGGCAAACCTTCTCAGTGAATGACGGAGCTTTTCAGAAACCCCTGTCCTTTGGAGAAGCCTTTTGTGCTTTCGGAGAAGGCATCGACACCTTTTTCAGTGGGGGCCTTCTGAGCCGTCCGAGAAGGTCCATCCCCCTCTGATTTCTTCCCTGGGCGCGCCGTCGATATATTTCCTCTTCTGAAGATGTCCTGTCCTCCTCCACCGCTTCCTCCTTTTCCTCCCCCTCCTCCCCCTTTTCCTCCTCCCCCCCTCCTCCTCCTCCTCTTCCTCCTCCTCCTCCTCCTCCTCCTCTTCCTCCTCCTCCTCCTCCTCCTCCTTTTTCTCCTCGTCGTCCTCATGATTATCCTCGTTCTCTTTTGCTTCCCTGCCTCTTCAATTTCCCTGCGGTCCTTGCGCATCACGTCCCCATATATGCACAAGTTGTGGCAACCAAGGAGCGAAATCCCGACCGCGGTATTTACTTGCTTTTGACAACAGGACCGGGGCGGCCACAACGTTGGCGATCACCACGGACGGGAGAGATCCTCCCAAACATTTCTGACGGTGTAACTTCTGTAAGCTGGTGTTTTTGTTCGTGGATTTTGGTTTCCAGGGCCTGCTACCGGGCCCTAAGATCATCAAGCATGATTTTGGAACGAAAAATGGCCCCGAACAACGGGGTCGCGCATTGAAGAACCATGTCGTCGGATGTCACGGTCCGAGGCACCTGCTTCTGCTCCAGCCCCGCGCTGCGGCTGATGGCGGCTGGAGAGAGTGCTGCGTAGCGGATGAATGGAAAAAAGGAATGAATCGGCAGCTCAGTGCCACACGCGGCTGCCCATCATACACATATTAGGGCCTGGATCCACCTGGGCCAAGGGAGAAAACAAGTGCCCACTGCGCGATATTCGCGCGTAAGTTTTCCGCGGGCGGTCCCGCGTAAGCGCCGTCGTGGCCACGCGGTGTCCCACGCTGGTAGCCCGCGTAAGCCACCGCGTAAGGTCGCTATGTCATCGTGCGTAAAACCCAAAGACCGACCACAACGCTGTCTAAGGTTGGTTTGGGCCCGTGTTTTGCTGTTCGTTCCGTTTTTCGTTGTTGTTTGGTTGTTCGTTGTTCGTTGTTATTTTAAACGCCCTGTTTCGTCGTTCGTTTTCGTTTGGCACCGGCTTCGTTTAAACGTTCGTTGTGAACGTTGGGGCTGGCTTCGCTGTTCGTTGTAAGCGACATTTCGTTTTAAACATCGTTGTGGTCGGTTCTTGGTAAAACGCCTTTATTGTCGTTGCTCACCTGCATGGCCTGGCTGCGACCGGCCAGTGCACGGGAGATCACAAATTCTGGATTCCGAGAGCCTTGTGGCCCCACAGTTCGTACATTTTTTTTCCCCCACATCATGTGTCCGTTGCGGTCGCGCGCGTTAACTTGACGGGGGCGTGCTTTGGGGCTTTGGGCTTGAGGGCGAGAGGAGGAGGAGAGGAGGAGGAGGAGGAAATGGAGGAGGAGGAGGAGGACGAGGAGGAGGAGGAGGAAGGGGAGGTGGAGGAGAAAGATGGGGAGGCAGAGGAGGAGGAGGAGGAAAAGGAGGAGGGGGAGGGGGAATGGGCGGTGGAGGGGGAGGAGGGTGGTGTATCATGATGATGAGAATGATGCTGATGATGGTTTTGTTGACACTGAAAATACGATTGTTGCTACTGTTACGAATACTGTTAGTACTACTACTACTACTACTACTACTACCAGATCTGATACTACCTCGATTAGGACTACTACGACTGTTACGACTACATCATTTGGTATACTATTCCTATTACTACCACCACAGCTACCATTATTACTATTACTAGTAGTACGACGGCTACTACTACTACTACTACTACTACTACTATTACTACTACTACTACTACTACGACTACTACTACTACTACTACCACTACTACTACGACTACTACTGCTACTACTACTACTACTACTACTACTACTACTACTACTAGTACTACTTGTACTACGACTATTACTATTACTACTACTACTACTACTACTACTACTATTACTACTACTACTATTACTACTACCACTACTACTACTACTACTACTACTACTACTACTACTACTTTGAGTACTGCCACGACTATTTCTACCACTACGCGTACTATTACTACGACTACTACTACTACTCGTACGACCACTACTAGTCGTACTACTACTACGGGTACTTCTACGAATACGACCACGACTACGAGTACTACTACTAGTATTACTACTACTACTATTACTACTACTACTACTACTACTCCTACTACTACTACTACTACTACTACTACTACTACTACTACTACTACTACTACTACTAGTACTACTACTGCTACGACGACTACTATTACTACTACTTCGACTATTACTACTACTACTACTACTACTACCACTACTACTACGACTACTACTGCTACTACTGTTATTACTACTGCTGCGATTACTACTACCGCTACTACTACTACTACTACGACTACTACTACTACTACTGCCATTACTTGTCTACGACTACTACTACTATTGCTCTTGCGGGCTACTACTACTGCTACTACTACTACTACTAGTACTGCTACCAATACCAATACTACAATTACTACTACTACTACTACTACTACTACTACTACTACTACTACTGCTATTGCTACTATTACTACCACTACCATGGCTACCGCTACTACTACTAGTACTTCTGCACTTACTAAATCTTATTTCTACTGCTGCGACTGCTTCTACTACCACGACTAGTACTACAACTGCAACAACTACTACGACCATGACTGTTGTCCTTATTTCCACCGCTACTACTACTATTTCTATTACTTCCACTGGTCCCACTACTGTTACACTTATTTCCACGACTGTTACTACTACTGTGTTTGCTGCTGCTTCTGTTGCTTCTAGTACTGCTACTACCACTACGACGGCTACTACTACGACTACGACTACTACGACTACTATTACTACTGCGGCTACTACTACTAGTACTACGACTACTACTACTACTGTTGCTACTACTACGACTACTGCTATACATACTACTGATGTTGATGACGATGATGATGCTGGCGCTGATGTTAATATTGATGTGGATGCTGGTGCTGATGCTGACCTGCTGGCTGGTGATGGTGATAGTGGTGGTGATGAGGAGGATGGTGGTGATGGCGGTGGCGCTGATGATGGAGATGATGATGCACGCAGGAGGAGGGGGAAGAGGAGGACCCGTGTAAATCTACGGCTCATCAACGATGTTGGAAGTCACCCTCGCTCCAAGCTCCCTGTCCAGAAGCCCCATTCAGGGGTTCATTTCCAATGAGGGAAGTGCCCCATGGGGAGACAGCCGTTTCATATCCAAAAGCGTGCCAGAACACCGTTCTCGGGACGTCAACGCCACGCATCAACCTGATTGCTGCGTCTTGATGATCCCGAATCGTTCCAGAACGCCACTACTGGGACTTCAGCACCGCGAGTAAAACAACTGCTGCGCCCTGACAGCCGTGAATCGTGCCAGACCAACTTCTGCTACGGTAACTATGGGAATTCGTGAAAGTCCTTCCAACTTTTCAGGGCGAGTGTGCGCGACGCTAAGGCGAGAGCCACATCTTGAAGAACAGCTGCCCCCAACCCGGCATATTCCTGTAACTGTTCAAGACGAATGTGCGGTTCGCTAAGGCGAGAGCCATTGTTTTGACAAGGAACCGCTCTCAATCTGTGCAGCGCCTGCATAACACGAATGTGCGCGGCGCTGAGGCGAGAGGAACATGTTGAAAACCACCTGCCTTCAATCCGTGAAGCTGCTGCAGTGCTTGAGACGAAAGTTCGCGGTGGGAAGGCGAGAGCCGCATGTTGGAAGCGGCCCGCCCTCCATTTGGGAAACTATTGCCTGTTCAGCTTCAGGATCATAAGTGGCTTGGAAATGTCAGGCGAAACGCGCGGCCCGCCTTTCCGACTAGCCCCGGGGAGCGACAGTTCAGAGTTAGCTTTCAGAAGGGATGAGCGGAGGAGGAGGGGGAGGAGGGAGGGGAAGAGGAAAAGGAGGGAGGAGGAGGGGCAGAGGGGCAGTGGGGCAGAGGGGAGGGGGAGGGGGAAGGGCAAGCTAGGTGCGCTCGCGCCATATCTGACGTCCTACCCCTCCCTCCCATCCTTTACCATGGCGTAGATATCCGCTCGATCGGCACAGTCGGATGCCATAGCATGCCATAGCATTTCATGGCAGTGCATGGTGTTGAACATCAACGCGTAGCATGACATAGCATGGCGTGGCGACGCCCACACAGGGGGGGGGATTCTGCGGCCCAAAATATCAACGAAGCTACAACATAGTGTGCAATCACTTCCAAAGATTTTTGTCGGGGGGCATTATCTAGATTTTTGGGCTTATTTGGAAGGATCGAAAACCATACTGTGGCATGGCACTGGAAATGATGACGCCAGCGCCGCAGCGGGAGCACGATTCGGAACGAGTGGAAGCGCGGAAATGAGGCCAGCGTTGCAGCGGGAGCGCGATTCGGAACGAACGGAAGCCCGAAAATGAGGCCAGCGCTTCAGCAGGAGCAACATTTTGATATAAATACCAAGCGAAAACCCAATTCCCGGGAATCATGTGTGCAAATGAAGTAGTACGCGGAGGGGGGCCGGATATCCTCCAGACGTCATCAGAGGAGAGAGGAGAGTAGAATTCATATGGTGTCATTCTGAGGGGGAAGGCAAGGAGAAGGGCGAGGGGCAGGGGGAGGTGGAGGGGGAGGAGGGGGAGGAGGAGAAGGAGGAGGAGGAGGATAATGACCATGACGAGGACGACGACGAGGACGACGACGAGGACGACGACGAGGACGACGATGAGGAGAAGGAGGAGGAGGAGGTAATGACGTCGGACGACCGACGAGTGGCGGCAGTCTGCGGACGACGGGCGACGAGGGCCTCCGAGGGCCTCCGAGAGCGCCAGAGTGCCTCCGGAGGCTTCTGGAGGCCTTTGGAGGCCACCCCCCCTCGGGCGGCGGCGGCGGCGGCGGCGACGCCGACGCCGACGGCGGCGGCGACGACGACGACCGCGCTGCCGCGCTGCGCCGAAGGTGCCGCCCTGGGGCTCGTAGACGGCGGCGCGGGGTGGCCCCAGGCGCCGCGCCCCTCGCGCGCCGAGAGGGCCCCGCCGCCGCGGGCCGCTGCCGCGGGCCGGCCGGGGTCGTCGAGGATGCTTCGGGGGCAACGTTTACGTCGGGCCTGTCCCCCTACAGGGGGATTTTCGACGAAACATACAAAATACCCCAAACATAGTTTAAGCAAAATGTCAAACAATAGTTGAGGGACTTCTTTTTTTCTGTATTTTTTGACCTTTTCGGTATATTTTTGGAGTATTTTTCCTTGTTCGCCCAAAATGCCCCTGTAGGGGGACAGGCCCGACTTAAGGCAACGTCAGGGGAGGGCCGAGCTGCAGTGGAGACCCATGCCAAGAGGCGCCCTGCTTGCCTCGAGGGGGGGGGCCCTGGGCTTCTCGAGTTTCGATGGTCTTGCGATGGAGAGCGCGACGTTCCCACACCCAAAGTCAATGGACGTCCTGGGGTCTCAGGGTTGGGTTTCCTGTGGAAGGTTTCTTGTGGTCGAGCTCCTACTGTAGGCCTCCCAGATGGGGTCGGACTAGATGGGGTCGGAGGATTGCGCCGCATCGCCGATGCATCGCCGATGCAGCTCGATGTGGAGCCCGATTTTCTCCACGTCGACGTCGCCGATGCAGCGCCGACGTCGCCAGTGCATCGCCGATCAATCGCCGATGTATCGCCGATGCGGCGCAATCCTCCGACCCCATCTATTCCGACCCCATCTAGGAGGCCTCTCATCGACTGGTGACGACGTCGACGCCCGGGTCCCTCGCCGGTTCTTGGACGATTCTGGCGCCTACCCGGCCTCCAGAGCCGGGGGGGGGATGGGCTCAGGAGTGGATGCATCGAGTTTCGAGGTTTCATTCTTGCCAAATTTCGAGGTTTGGATGCATCGAGTTCTCGAGGTTTGGATGCATCGAGTTTTCGAGTTTGGATGCCTTGAGCCCAAGTTGGGCTCAAGGATGGATGCATCGAGTTTTGATGTTTGATAGCGTTTTCGACGGCTCCCGGCCGTTCTGGGGCCTCTGGGGTGCTCTCCAGCAGCGGCGCCTCGCCGAGGGCGTTCTCAGGGACAGGGGGGGGGGTAGGCTCAGGTGGGGATCTATCTCAGGGGGGGAAATAACACACAGGCACAATTCATCGGCGATTCCCAGAAAAGATGGGAAAATATGGGAAGTGGGGGGAAGACAAAAACCCAGAAAATATGGGAAAATATGGGGGATAGTTTTATGTGTGTATTTATTTGTGTGTCCCAATTCCCCTTCAATATCGACCCCCAGTCGCCCATTGATCGCCGCTAGGGGTCCGATAGCCCACCCGCCCAGGAACGTGCGGAAGCGCTATCTCACGAGCGAAGGAACGACGTACACGTAAACGAATCGACGAAGGTGTTCGAGATTGCGCCCTGCAGGAGCGTCCGCATCTCGAGGCCGGTGTAGCGGATTGGGGGGCCGTATACGCAATCATGTGCTGGGCTGGGCGCGCACGTCCTTCGTAGGCTCCCTATTATCGGGGGCCCATCGCCGATATGTCGGCGATCTATCGCCGATTCCAGGTCGACGATCCCCTCGAAGAGAGACCAAGCCTCTCGGTGACCGCCAAGGGCGGGACCTGCAGGGGCAGCCCGAGAGATATCCACGGTACCTCGCGCGGCGGCTGTCGCGAGCGTGCTGTAGCCGAAGGGCGCGTCGGGCGCCGGGGGGCGCTGAAGAATCAAGTACGCGAGTCTGGGCATCCCGTTGCCCTCTCCTGGCCTTGACGTGAGGCCCCTCCGTCTGTTTTTCTTCCTCTATCAAAAAAAACCTGTGCGCGGCCCGCTTAGCTTCGACCGGAAGAGGCTCGCTCTCGACCCGCGGATCAAAAGAGTGTAGGCATCCCGGATGGGGTCCGAGTAGGTGGGGTCGGAGGATCGCGCCTCATCGCCGATGCCTTTCCGATGCATCGCCGATGCGTCTCGATGCGCAGCACGTCGATGCGGCTCGCCGATTTGCTTCACGTCGACGTTGCCGATGCATCGCTGGTGCATCCCCGATGCATCGGCGATGCGGCGCGATCCCCCGATCACATCTACTCAGACTCCATCCAGGAGGCCTCTATTGCTCCCTCCTCCCCTGAGCTCAAGGCGTCGCAATTGTTTCGCTCCGGCCGTTTCCGCTACGGTCGGACCGAGGTACAAGCTCGAGGTCGGTTCGGGGAGGGTGCCTTCGAGTGTTGTTCGGTTTGGCTGGCAAAGGCATTCAGGTTCTTGAAGGATGTTATCATGTCCTAGGTTCCGGCGTATTTTTCGGGCCCCGGGGCCCACGGATCATTCCGGCTTGCAAAGTGCGGCAGGACGATTAGGTCTAGGGTTTTGGTCGAGTTTCTTGCCGATGCTGTATTTTTGTCGCAACGTCGGATCTCAGTGCCCTCATCTTCTTCCTCCCCTCTTCTCCTCCCTCTCCCTCCTTCGAGGTTCGAGCTGCGGGCCTTTCCACCCATGGAGCGAGTCGCTCGATGACCCTCCTCCCAGCCTAGGCTGTGAAGAGGGCAAGAGAAACAGAGACGTGAAGAAGAAGAAGACGATGGAGCGATCGAACGGCGAATGGCTCTGGAGGCCTCTCCTTCCTGCTTCTCTTGCTCCCGCCTCCTGGTAGCTGGTAGTTGCGGGCACCAATGTTTCGACGAGGCGTTGCCCTGAGGCTTCCTCCTTCTCCTCCTTCTCCTTCTCCTCCATGATTCCTTCCCCCTTTTCCCCGAGAATTCCAGCGGCTGCTTCTCAGACCCTGGCGCGTTTCTTCTTGTTTGGCTCCAGGGAACCGCATCTGGGCCGCGGGACCGATCGCATATGGATCCGGGGCGAAAGGCATGGAGTGACCGATGTTCGTCTTCGCGATGATGATGACGATGACCACGATGATGTTGATGTTGGTCGTGGTTGCGGTGGTGATGATGACGCCGATGTTGGTGATGACTCTGATGATGATGATTTCGACAATTGCGATAATCATACTGGTGATGATGACGATGATGACGATGACGATGCCGATGACGATGATGGTGCTGATGACGATAATCATGCTGATTCGGATGAGGTTGGTGTTGCTGATGTTGATGTTGATGTTGACGTTGCTGCTGCTGTTGATGAAGATGAGGTGGATGATGATGATGATGATGATGATGATGATGATGATGATGATGATGATGGTGATGATAAGTACGATGCTGCGGATGATGCTGCTGATGATGATGATGACCATGCTGGTGATGCTGCTGATGTTGGTGTTGATGATGCTGATGATGATGACTATGAGTATGCTGCGGATTGTGCTCATGAGTATGTTGATGATGATGATGATGATGATGATGATGTTGATGATGATGATGATGATGATGATGATGATGTTGATGATGATGATGATGATGATGATGATGATGATGATGATGATGCCTGGATGGACCGACCCATCTCAGCTTCCGTCCCAGCCAGCCTTTCGAGTTGCGTCCAGCCGTTGCAGCGAGGACCTCCACAAGCGCCTCGGACACCTCCCTCGTCGGCGTCGTCGTCGTTGTGGGCGGCGGCTGCCTCGCCGACGCTGCCCCAAGGGAGGACGAGCGGAGAGGGCGGAGGGTGAGGGAGGAGGGAATGTAATACGCGCGAGGGGGGCGGAGGAGGAGGAGGAGGAGGAGGAGGAGGAGGAGGAGGAGCAATGAGCAATGAGCAATGCGCAATGCGCAATGAGCAATGCGCGGGGAAGTCAAATGAGTTGCCCTACCCCATTCCAAGACCTGGTGAGAACTCTGCGCAACCCGACTTCATGGGGAGCGAGTTATCTACTGCACTGACGGGGTAGCCCCCCCGCTGGCGGGACCAGCACCGCCCCCGAACGGCGATGCACTCCCATGACCCCACGCCGGCGTACGTACAGTGGAGAACCACCTCGGGGATCGACTCACGGATGGTGTCCTCGGCCTTTACCACTGCCCTTTGACCTACGAGGGGCCCGCCTGCGGGCCACCACCGGGGGGATGAGGGGGCGGCTAGGAGGAGGAGGAGGAGGAGGAGGAGGAGGAGGATTTTTTTGTTGACATCCACGGCCGAGGACCCCAATCAGATGGGGCAAGCAGTGGACAGGTCGACAGTGACTCCGGATCTCTTCGGATGAAGACCTTTGCCGAGCTGTCTCCAGTTCTCGCTCTTGCGCGGATCAGCGAGAGGACTGCACGTCTTCGCTAATCTATCGAGGCGAGCACCGGAGGTGAAACAACCGCACCGCTGGCAAATGCACACAAACGAATCGTCGCTGCAGTCGATTGCCACGCAACGACGTCCCAGCTCTCGTAAAACTTGAGGCTGGACACGGAGGTGTTTGCTGCACCTACCGTCTGGATGCTTGCACACCGAGCGCGAGCCCCTCAAGCAATTAGGACACTGCCTATAAACTTGCGGGGAGGCCGCCCGACCAAGATCCACTGGTGGGGCGCTGACACTGCAGGGGCCTCGTCGGCAGCAGGTGGAGGCGGCGGCACCCACTGGAATCCGTCCGGGGACATCTACGGCCAACGTGGCAGAAGCCGCGCCGAGAGCAATGCCACTGCCCGCGCCACATAAGTCAGCCGGTGCAACCTGCGATGCTCGGCGGGGGATGCATCCGAATGTCATGCCGCCCCCATCTTTGTGGCGTTGTCGGCCCAGTCGTTGCCCAGACGGCGGACGTACTCGTCCCTAGGGGGGTCAGGGTCGAGGGCAAGGTGGGCAGCCACCTTGTCCACACCAGCAATACAACTGTCGGACAAGGCGTCAGCCTGCAAAATCAATCCACTGCATGGCCGCTTATAAGAGTACCGGTTCAGGCGGCACAAGGCAAATGTTGAAACAACATTCGCGCACTCACTCTGTCTTCAGCCTGCGGTCAGGAGACGAACTCGGCAGCCTGGCTTGTCTGAGGATAAGAAGAAGAGAGCGGCCCATGGAGCATGGCCAGCAAATCGCCACCAGCCGGAAGCATGACCGCTCCGTAACCAGCGCGGCGTAATCATTTGATGGGTGACTTCATGCGCGAGCCATCTAAGTACAATTCCCCCTCCCCTTGAAACTGAGTGGCCGTCGGCACAGTAGAACTACTGGAGGCGCTAGGCAAATAACGAAAGCTTCACTCTCGCGCGCGAAGTCCTTTCCAAGGGCGCTGGGCCACCAGTTGCCTGGATGCGGGAAGAGACCAGTTTCCGAGAGCAGCATATCTTCATCTGAGATGTCTTCACTTCGAGCCAGCGCCAGCACCTCAGGGTCGACCAACTGGGTGCGCTCGAGCTCGCACTCCTGGCACTTCCACAACCTATCGCCTGTTTGGCCACACAGCGGGCAGATATCAGGGACCTGGTACGTAGTCGGTAGCCACGGCACGCGAGAGGTGCCATAGGCCACGGCACGACACCGCACGCACGCAACTTTTGTCGAGGGGCGAAAACTTACGAGAGGCATGCCCTGCTAAACCGATATCGAAACACAACCTGGATCCGGAGGTGTACCTGTCTCCCGCCTCCTGCTCGAGGAGCCGGCACGCAGCGGCACGCAGAAGGCTTTTTGTTAGGAGAGCGGGAGAAGTTCGCGTCAAGGACTAAGGGACGCCTCGATCGTCAATGAGGGCGAAGGGACCTGGCATGGTCCACCCCAGACGCGCCAGCGAGAGGCGCATGGCCCCTAAAGGGTCCCGAACAGAGCGCACGGCCCACTGAAGGCCAGAGTCCAGGCCTCACGGAGGGCCCCCCAAGAGAGGCTGTGCGGGGTAGCGGCGGTGTGAAGCAACCAGGCTTCACGCGCGTGGCGCACAATGTGCGCAGCCGTGCCAAACCAGGTGGGGTCGCTCTCCAGGCGCAAAAGGGAGCACAGCGACCGTTCGCCTGAGCCTGGCTGTAGAGTGGTGCCCGCAAGCCTTCGAACCTTAGCGAGCTCCCCATCAGGCATCCCATGGACCTCACAGCCGTACCGGAGGGCTGCCAGGGCTCCGGCGCAGAAAATCTGATGGGTCCGTCGGCCGAGGACCCCCCCCTGCCGAACCAATCGCCGTGTGCGGCGAAACGCCTTGGTGGTCCGGACTTTGTCCTCAGCATTCCTGCCCCGGACCCGGCGGGAGGAGGAGGAGGAGGAATAGGAGGAGGATTGCAGGAATACGTAGCATGGAGGAGGATGGATTGGGGGGGATGGGAGACCAGAAATCCGACGATAGGTTTTCCCCACCGTCCTGTGGAGTTGGGCCCTCATTTCGAAGAGACAGCGCCCCGCGTCTCTCCTCTCCTTCCTCCTCCCCCTGCTTCTCTCTCCTCCCCCTCCTTGCCTGTGCCCTCCGCAGGTACATCTCTCAAATGTTTTGGGGCCACCATAGGGAGCTCCACCGAAGGTCAACATGCCAGCAATCGCATGCGCCCACCGCACACCCCTCACGTTTCGTGGCCCCAGAGGGAGCTCCACCGACGGCCCCAGTAGCTTCGTTCGGATTCGCCCACCGCACCCAGTTTGGCACACCCTCACGCGTTTCGCGGCCCCATAAGGAGCCCCACCGACGGCCCCAGCGGCTTCGTTCGCATGCGCCCACTGCATCTATTTCGGCACACCCTTTACACACTTCGTGGCCCACTCCACCGACGGCCACAGTGGCTGCGTTCGCATACGCCCGCCGCACCCCTTCTGGAACACACCCCTCACACGTTTCGGGCCCCAGAGGGAGCTCCTCCGACGGCCCCAGTGGCTGCGTACGCATGCTCCCACCGCGCTCACGTTTCGCGGTTCCATAAGGCGTTCCACCGACGGCCACAGTGGCTGCGTTCGCATGCACCCACTGCACCCCTTTTGGCACACACCCCTCACACTTTTCGTGGCCCCAGAGGGAGCTCCTCCGACGGCCCCAACGGCTGCGTTCGCATGCGCCCACCGCACCCGGTTTGGCACACCCTCACGCGCTTCGCGGCCCCATAAGGAGCCCCACCGACGGCTCGAGTCGCTGCTTCCGCATGCGTCCACAACATTTCTTTTGGCACACACCTAGATCTTGCGTTCGCATGCGCCCGCCGCACCCATTTTGGGACATATAGTACACGTTTCATTGCTCCACAGGGAGCTCCACCGACGGCTCCAGTCGCTGCTTTCGCACGCGCCTACCGCACCCATTTCTGGCACACCCCTCACACGTTCCGTGGCCCTGCAGGGAGTTCCTGCGAATGTGGTGCATACAACGACGGTGCTTTCAACTGCATATGGTTGGGTCCTTCGCCAGGCTAATTTTGAATATGCGGCTCTTGAGGTCCCTCCCAGTCCCTCGGGCCACTTTACACCCTCGGCCCGTTCCTCGTGGCCTTGGGCACGACGACACAGGGCCCCAGATGGCTGAATTCGCGGAACTACCGACGGTTGAGCAAATCAGTACCGTCGAGAAGCTGAGGAAACACCGTCGGTTGAACACTCCCCCCTCCTCCTCCTTCTCCAGCTCCGCTACGTTCCACGGCCCTGAGAAATCCTGAGGCCAAGCGGCGTCCGCGAACTGGGACTCCTCTAGGCGCTGACGCCCACGCGGCTTCGGGATAGCCGCGTTTCCCTCAGGTCAGTCGCGGCTGCCTCGTGTTCTCCGGTGGAGTCGTTTGAGTAGCTTGTCCTCTTCTCCTTAACATGAGGAGGAGGAGGAGAAGGAGGAGGGAGGAGGAGGAGGAGGAGGAGGAGGAGGAGGAGGAGGAGGAGGAGGAGGAGGAGGAGGAGGAGGAGGAGGAGGAGGAGGAGGAGGAGGGGGAGGAGGAGGAGGAGGAGGAGGAGGAGGAGGAGGAGGAGGAGGAGGAGGGGAGAGGAGGAGGAGGAGGAGGATGGGGAGGGAGGAGGAGGAGGAGGAGGAGGAGGAGGAGGAGGAGGAGAGGGAGGAGGGAGAGGAGGGGAGGAGGGAGGGAGGGAGGGAGGGAGGGAGGGAGGGAGGGAGGGAGGGAGGGAGGGAGGGAGGAGGGAGGGAGGGAGGGAGGGAGGGAGGTGCGGGAGGGAGGGAGGAGGGCGGGAGGGAGGGAGGGAGGGAGGGAGGGAGGGAGGAGGGGGAGAGGGAGGGGAGGGAGGGGGAGGGAGGGAGGAGGAGGAGGCGGAGAATAGGAGGAGTAGCCCCCCCCCACCCCCCACGAAAAGCGCGGAGAGGCCACCGCGCGAGCCCTGGCAGAGTTGGGCCTCCGCTGCGCCGGGCCGCCGCGGAGGCGCGGCCAGAGTAGTCTTGGAG